ATGTGTTACATTACCATTGTCAGATCATATAAACACGCAGAATTCTACAATATCTTATATCAATTTTATTTCTAAATCCAACAACGAAAAGGCTGTGAAAACAACTTTTAATATTTTCACATGATATTGACTACCCCTGTCAAAGTATTTATTTGTGCCTTCTTATATATTTGTAGGCTGTTCTGTAAACTTCTTTAAATCCTATTTACATTTTATTCCTATTTTTGAAATAAAGATTTCAGGAGGAAACACCACCTGAATGTACCATCGATTACTGTTCACCCTTCCCTTTGCAAGAGTGCAGGAGAAGCTGGCTGACATGCTAAATAATACATGTGGTCCTTTAGTTGTCCAAATTTCGTACATATTCAACGTAGTGACAAAATGCTCTCTGTTGAATAGTTTGTCCTTTTGGGCTACTGTAGAAACATAGTGGCGCAACACGGTGAGGTCATGTCAGGGGACCCCCCGTGTATGCAGATAAAAACAGCTCATTCTAAGGTTATAAAAACATAACGGTTCATTATGTCAGGTGTTTATACACCACTGAAAATAAAGTTATGTACATTATATTGCATTTTTGTCCATAGATCCTCCTAAATATTACACACTGGACCTTTAAGTTGATTGCAGCTTCAAAAGGGTGACAAAAACAAATGTGCAACACATAAGCCGCATGAACCTATAGAGAGACCTTTGTGCACTGTTGTAGCTTCAGACAGCTAATAATGACTAGTTTTGTTTAGATTGACAATAAATGGCAATTAACAAATGTCAAATTAACAATCGCAGAACAACTGTTATAAAAAGTACCTACAGTTAATGCTCACAAGGGCATGCGGCAAGTACATAAAAGATACATGTCAATACAGATCTGACAATGACAATAACTAAACTTAACATGTCAATTCAATTGGGAATAAACTGTAATGGCGCAGTGTCAGGAGGGGTTGCTCCGAGCTACAGAACACCCAACTGAATAACTGAACACAAGCAACTGCTGGTAGCAGAATAAGCTTTCAGACACAGTGCAAAACTAATTTTAGAGCTGGTGTGACTGCATGGAAAGATGTACAGATTGCTGAGGCATTCACACTCTTGAGGGAACTAGAACAAAAGATTCAAAATCTGCCTATTGTTGTTTATTCACTTTATATACACAATCTGAACTTACCTGTTTGCTCTCCCATTTGCACACATGCACAGTGCTAGCTTATAAATTATGCAGATTTCAGTCATAAGACGTACATGAAAATGTGGGCGTGAAAGCTCGTTCTTGACCATGGAAATCTAAACTCAAGGTCCACCATCTAACAATCTATATCAAAGGATGGATACTTAGGTCACGTGATGACAACTGAACCAAAATATTTTCTGAGCAAACCCCATCTGCTCATGATCACCATGAGATGCAAACAACATTTCTTTACTTTTTGTTTGTCAAAAATATTTGAGAAATGTGTATATAGGACCTAATGGCAACAATTAGATAAAGGTGCTAGATATTAGTGTCTAAAACATTACACGAAACATGAGATGATATGTCTTTAGACTGCTAGACAATACTTGCTGTATTTTTGCTTCTCCCTTCTTAAATGGGAGGCTAATTTTTGTCATAATAATTACTTGATGTTGAAACACTACACACATCACCTTTAAAAATGTGTCTTTATCCTGCATCCTCAAACTGCTCTCTTCTCTTAATATGTGCAATCACAATAACAGCAATAACACACTTGATGAAAACAACATATGTTACATTATACTGCCACTTAGCTGTTTATCTCATTAAATATTTGCATATGCATTCATAATAAATAGTTTTTTTTAATGTCCTCACAGACACTTGTGATGAGTATCTAAATGTCTGCATGCAGTCAGTGCTTATACATGTACTCTCTAAGCAATGCTTTACACATACACACCCTTGTAGACCTTTGTAAATGTCTTCATCCTCACTCCTCCCTTTCATCTGCATCTCTCTTAATGTCCCCAAAGGGCTTAATAAACTTTTCTCAATAGGTGCAATCACAGTAACTGTGCTTTGATTATCTGTTTGATGGAAGCAGCATATGTTACATTATACTGCCACTGTGTTGCCAGCTGTTTGGAAATGTAGTCATCTCATTAAGTGTATGCATATGCATTCATACTCTATAGGTATTTTTCTTAGCATGTCCTCCCAGGCACTTGTGGTGATTATCTAAATGTTTTTACACAGCCAATGCTTCTGCTTCTACTGTGTACTCTCTAAGCAATGCTTTAGACATACAAATACTTAAATAATTAATAAAGTTTCTGTTTTTGTGCGCTGCACCAAAGCATTATCATCTTCTCTGACCTGCTGGTGGCCATTAAACTCATTAAGGTTAGTCATATGTTGTCCAAACCCACATAACTTTATTTCAATTCTAATGAAAAACCCAAACTTTACCAAATAGGTAATTTGGGGGAAATGTATGTAAAATGATGAACAATGTAAAATATCTCTATGTGATTCAATGGTGTAGCAAAGCATGGAGTGTTTGAATATTTCACCGTGTATCTATGGATTAATTGAAGAGCTGGAACAAGCTGATAGCCAAGATACACTCATCTGTACAATTTAATGCAATCTGATAAAATAGCTTCACCATAAAATCAGCTTTATGAAGCTTACGAATTTTAAGTTTTTGTTGACGGTGTCAGAAGATTCTGTTTTATGTTCATTATTGAGGTCATTGTGGGTGGTGGGATTGTAGTGGAATAATGCTAATGCTTTTATCCAAAGCAACTTACAATTGCTATACATGTCAGAGGGCGCACACCTCTGGAGCAACTAGGGGTTAAGTGTCTTGCTCAGGGACACAATGGTGGATGGGTTGATTGAACCCGGGTCTTTCACACCAAAGGCAGGCGTCTTATCCATTGCTCCATCACCACCCCCAATACATTGAAAAGCGCTTCTATTTTTTTGACCATCCAAGGAGGCAAACACATTTCAAGCACATCTTTCAATTAATTGTTTGGCTTTTCCAGCCCACAATGTGTTTATTTGGCTCACTCTTATCAGTGTCATATCAAGACACAGCAGGCAGCTCATTTTTTTAAGTAAAAACGTTTTTTTTTAAGTTAACGAACATATGGTGGGGCATTTAGTAGCTAAAAAGCCAAATATTTCCTTACTATATTTTGTGGAGACCAAAAACAGAACTAAAAGAGAGTGACTGCACTCACCAGGGGGAGGAGGTCACAAACATTCCAAATGACTCATACTGTTTCTCCATATCTGCTGGAGGTGTAAAAATATATCAACATATCAACTTAAAAGGTTAAATGTCACTGTTGTTTTCAAAGCTTGTTCCGCTGCCTCCAAGTTGTGAAAACATTATTTAGTTGTGCAAGTTTAATGTTCTTTGATCACCACCGTTTACAGTTCAAAACCCCTCTTATGAAGTTGACATCTCAGAAAATCCTTCTGGCAATAGTGAAGTGAAGAGAAAAATTCAGAGAAGATGGAAATTACCTTTTGAATATGAGCCAGAGTAACAAAACAAACGGTGAAAGTACCCAGTGTTTTCTTGGCAAATGTCTGTTTTTTCCCCTCACTTTAAGAAACAAAAATAAACACCAATCAATTTACAATGATTTTGTCCAATATAAAAAGGAAAATAAATATTTGTTTTAAATATTCTGTTTGCTTTTGACCCTCTGACACACATCCTGCCATCTAAAGGGATGTCTACTATCTGTCCGTTGCACATGCTCACACTCATGTTGCCGCTCTTTGCTTTCAACTTAGTCTCACACACACACACACACACGCACAGAAAGAGAGAGAGAAACAAGTGTATTCTACTGTGTTCAACCACAATCCAGCACTTCACACACATGCGTGTATGCTTATCAAGAATTCATGTTGTGGGCTTTAAACTATTTCAGATTCTACTGTACACACTCACACAAACAAAAACACACTTTCTACTTCTGAATGTAGTTAATTTCAGTGGTTTTCAGTGGCAGAAGGGGGAGTCGTCTGTTCTGATGCAATGACCTGACAGTCTTGCCACTGTGTGTGTGTGTATGTTTGCATTCATACCGCCTTTCTGTATGTGAGTGTTTGTCTTTGTGGTTTTATGCGAGTGTATGTATTTAAATGTACATACATTATATATATATACATAAAGTTAACCACATATATATATATCTTTCTCTGTATGTGACTCTCCTCTTGTTGTGTTTGTGTGTGCACTCAATTCACTGGCACGCAGACACACACACTCCCGGCTGCGTGCCTGGAATACAAGGCATGGCATGATGGGAGGAGAAGAAAAGAGATCGCTCCCGTATCCAGGGGCAACGCAGGTAACAGGAGGATAAGCGGCAATGACTCGGAGGACGCCTTTCTGTTGAGTTCCATAAGCCTCGGGACACGCTGGAAGACTTCCACAGCCCTGACAGGTTTTTGAAAACATTGCATCACACACATAATAAAGAGGTTCATTTGTCTGTCAGATTTACATAATATCATTGGAGAAAACAGCTACCACAGTGTCTGCACACTATTTCTGCAGGTTTTCATTCCAACCACACACACCGGCAGCTGATTTCACTGATTACTTCGTCCTGTCTGGTTGACAGTGCGCTAATCAGTGAAATCACCTGCCGTCCTTAGTTGGATGAAGTTTAAACCGGCAGATGATTTTTTGGCACTTTGACACATGATTGCCCCATCATAAGCAATTTGGTAATGGCAATGTTTTATAACTGTATAGTGATACTTATTCAACCTAAAATCCTACTTCCTGTTAAATTTAAAGCTACCCTGTAAGCTTTGATCTGGTCAATTGCAGGTTACAACACATATAAACATTGAGGTTAAACTGAAAAGTCAAAATCTCATAAACAACTCTTTAGGTTCTTTTTTGATGCAAAAAGGCTTTTGGCCTTGTGAGGCCACGGTCGGTTACAGCCTCTCAGTGAAGCTCCACCCCCCTGTCTCTCTAGAAGCAGGCACACACCTGTGCCTCTTTAAGAGTTGATTTGTAGCGAGCACTCAGGATCTCTCTGTAGGCATTGTGGTCCAGTGTGGCTAGAGAGCAGGTATGTTTTGTAGACGTTACGAGTCAAGGCTGACAATGTTGTTAACTTGTGAACACGTTTTAATTTGTTTTAATCACAGGTATTAAGCCGCCTGTCGTCCAGACCTCGTCAGCTGAATAGCCTGTCGTGCTAAAGTTCACCACAGACAAGGCAGTGGTTGTTTACCCTGAGGTAAAAAGATGTGGTCTAGTAGAGCTACACAAGTTTACTGTGTTTATGATGTACATTGCAGTGGGCCTAAACTGATCTATAAACTAGGTGCAGTCAGAGCTGGGTTGACTACTTACTGCATTGTTTAAAGTAAATATCATCTGTCAGGTATTTAGCAGGTATGTATTTTTTTTTTTTCTTTTTGTAGTATGTTAAATAACTGAATTAAGTTCTTGTCATTTTAGGATTGTATAGCCACTGCTGTTTTGCCTGCCTGATCAACTGCTGCTATTCGTGCTTGAGTTGTCTATTTTTTATTTATATTTTTTTCTTGTGTGTTCTGCCAGACAGACAAGGTGGTGGATTGTGGGAACCCCTTTCCCCTTCACTGCATGTGGTGGTTTTATGACGGCTGTGTGCGCATACTTAACTTTTATTGTGTAGTGTTTGTGCATCTTGCTGTGTTTAGGTGGCTGCGCACCAGTGTGAGTGGTGGTGTCAAGGCACCTGGGTGGCCCACAAGTCTGGCTCCTGTAGATGCTGAGGTGTCTTTTAACAGTGTGCTTTTAACCCTTAGCATTTCTGGCAGTATTGACATCTACAGCTTATCTGTTTTTGTTTGCGCTTGTGCATCGAATAAATTGCCCAAAGCCTTGTTTGTTTAACTGTTTAAATAATCTTCCTTCCAGTTGAAACCCGTGTCTCTGAATTTTATTAACTGTGGGAAACCCATGGCAACTGGTAATTATTTGGGGATTTGAACCCCTCACTACTTGCTTCGGTTACCGAGGGAGCAACTGACGCCAGCATCATTGTACACATATTTACTTTGTGTAAATCTAGAGGGGCCAGATTAGGGCCAAGAATCATCCCTGGCTGAAAAGCAAGTATGTCAGCAGCCTTACTGGGTAGTTTCTAGGTTTGTAATTTCCTTAAAGAGAATAGGGGGTCATGGTAAGCTTGAATTCATAGCTTTTAGATCGATTCTGAGATCATAATAAAACTTTCCACATCAGGAAAAACATGTAGAGTTGTCTTGCCTGTAGTTTAGGTTTGTCATCTTCTCTGAATTTTAAATTCCTAACCATTATCCTTAATTGACTCCATAGGTGATCCTGCAGGTTTGACCTTTTCAAGTCACTTATTAAGACTGCAATTTAGTCTTAAAACCTGTCGCACTACCAGACAACCTCTGGATTAATAACAGTTGGAGTTCCCCTCTAATTGTCAGAACTGGAAATCTGCTGAAAATCATCCTCAAAATATACCAGTGTGTCCCCAGACTGATTAAACAGAAATGGCCTTCCCTTTTATCCTTTTTCATTTCTTCTTTCTTCAGAAGACAGTTGGCACTGTCTTCAATGAAAAATGCATTTGAATTGTTCTTTCCGTCTTTCATCCTCATCTGAGATTTGAACTTTACCTTCTCGTGGTAGCTCATTAGTTACATTTTCAAGGGAACAGGAAAATTATTATTGACCATAAGTGAACCTGATCAGACCGCTTTCTTTTTGTCCAGACATGTACTCAAAACTTACTGAAGACAGAACACACCACTGGCTCACGTTGGAGCTCAATTGAAGCGAGTGACTGCCCATTAAATAGCTTTGTCTCGTATCTATATTGTACCTGAACTTAATCAAACTTACTTACAATGAACAGAAATTTAAAGGAGTACAGAAGCAAGAAGCTATACCCCTCATCTTGTGTTTACTCGTTACAAAAACATTTGGTGTTTCGCGACATCAGTTGATTTATTGCAGCATCCCTTTTTTTTTTTTTTTTTTTCTTCAGTGCCTGTACTAACGTCCAAAAGGTCATGAGATTTTTGTTTGTGTTGTGGTTCCATCACTGCAAACCGGTAGCCCAAGATATCAAATCTCATTTATCAAGCAAGATATGAAAAAATGTTTTCTGAAGTTGAGTAGTTCAGAAAGTGGTCTTTACTGGAAAGTTTTTAGAATGGAGACTTGTTTTTCAATATTATCTTTGCTAGAGGTCTATAGTATTTTCACAATGCTGTTCATATCAAACTCAAATTGTTACATTATTTAAAACTGTTTGCTTTTAGTGAGGTTTAATGGGTTTGCTCATGCAAAAATGTAGATTGGAAATAGATGTACTTTTTTTTTTTTTTTTTTGGTCTTATTGCTCTCCCAACCTCTTTTTGTACAGACTGTATTTTAGTGTAATTTTAGCTCAGTAACACAACTGCACAAATTATTTATGCTTTCCAATTCCACCTTATGGCTCCTGTAGTGCAGAACATTGATCCTGAAGAGCAACAAATTGTGTCAATGTTTTGTGGGAAGTGTCAGGGAATGGGATCTCTTTTTAGTATAGAAAATGTTTGTCTAGTATGCTAAAACCAGACTCTTATTTAAATGTATTTTACTTAATTCATGAGTGGAAACCGGTGTGCTTCTCCTGCACTCAATTTTGGTTTGGTCTTGTGCCTCAAAGACTAGTGTTGTGTGGGGTTTTTGTTTCCCTGAAACTTCCCTTTAAAAAAAAAAAAAAAGCTAAGGTACCATGACAAGTTGATGAAATTGCTGACCAGTTTTGGTATGAAGTGTTCTTTTGAACATATGACAGCACTGAGCTCTTTTACTGGACTCCCTAAAAGTACTGTATTAACAAAATGCTATGTGAACAACAGAAGAGAAATCTAAATCAAATCAGTGTTTAGTGACCACAATTTGCCTTCAAAACAGCATGATTTCTTCTAGGTAGCTGTTTTTAAGGAACTCTGCAGTTAGGTTGGCCCTCATGTAATCCAAGACAGACTCAGTATCAGGTATCTGTGATCCAGACCGTCACTTTTGGGACTCCTTGTCCATAATCACTCTTGCTGTATGTCTGGGGTCAGTGTCATGGTGCAGAATACATTTTGGGCCAGTCAGATGCCTAGTATCTACCTGTTCTCCTCAGCATTGAGGGGACGATTAATTCTGACCAAATTCTCCTATCTCCATTTGCAAGGAACCTCCGGCATGCTATGTTGCCTGCAGACACTCATTCTTATACCGCTCTCCAGCCCGTCAGCATCCAACCTGCCTTCTGCAGCCGCCAAATATTTCCAATCAGTTCAGAGCACCTGCTGCCATTTTTCTGCAGTGTTTCCGTGCAGAGTTGAGTCGCTTGGCCTTGTTTCCATGTCAGAGGTATGGCTTTTTGGCTGCAAGTCTTCCATGATGGCTACTTCTGATCAGACTTTTTCGGACAGTAGATGGGTGTACCAGGGTCCCGCTGCGCTCTGCATTTTTGAGCTGATGGCACTGCTGGACATCTAATTGTAAAGGAAAGTTGGCATGATCTGTCTTTCATTTGCTGCAGTAAGTTCCTTTGGCTGACCACTGTATCCATGATCCTCAGCATTGCCTGTTCCTTAGTGCATCTTCAAAGGAGCTTGGACAACACATCTTACACCTACCTTGTGTCTAGTTGCTTTGCTCAACCCTGCCATGGTTTGACTTTGATAGTAAACTGTCTTCAACAACCTCACACATTTGGCTTTGCCTTACCCAGTTGTTTTCCTCCTGCACAGCGGTTTCTGTTTTAGTTAATGGTTCGCACCTGTTTGGTATATTTGTTTGACTGATACACTATTTTTAAAAGCATTACTTTACAGCATTAATTCCACACCTGCCTAAAACTCTTGCACAGTACATACCTTGCCTACCAATTGCTTTCAATACAGTACTTTGAAATGTACCAAAATGCTAAAGTACAATAATAGTCATCAGTTCCTCTCGCGCTCAGGTTGACAAATGCAGAGTGAGGTAGTACTACAGTATAACCACTTTTTTTTTTTTTTTTTAAACTTCGAGGTAGTGGTCTCAACTTGACAAATGAGACTCATGGGGTCTGTCTACAAGTTCTAAAAATCTCTTTTCTGTCCCTCCACTGCGTCCTACTTTCTGGGAAATGGATGTCAATGTTTGCTGTTCTGACAGTTGATGAGAGGAGAGGGCAATATGTTTCTTACTCAGGAATTGCATGGGTGTTTGGAAGATTTGACCTTACTGTGATCATTCCGAGAAGTTTTCAATGATGAAACTTGAGAGTATGAGTCGCAGAAGCGGTAATAATGAATAAAAAAAGTCAGTTTTGTTTGTCATTTTCTCTAAAATCTATATTCTGCAATGTTGTCTTTTTGTTAAACAAGACATTTAACCCCATTTGAAACTAGAGCAGATGTCACATTAAGTGGAAAAACTTGGAAAATAAAGTCTGAGTACAGTGTTTAAAACGTACAGAGGAGATTAAAGAAAATTTGGAGACAAGAAGTTGAAGTAAAACTTTCAACTGAGGCAAGAAATGAACATAAAGTTGTTGGAGATCTGATTATTGCAAGTGTAAGGAGTATAAAAACTCTAATGGCAATGGTAGAGAGACTAGTGAAAATATTCCCATTTTGCCTCAATAGCAGTTAATAAGATTTGATGGGTCCCTGTTGCCTTCCTTCTCCTTTTAACTGTTGTACTGCCAAATTCCACCTTTGAATATATTTAATGTAAAAACCAAATCAATATTAGGTGATTAATTCAAACCTTAAAAGCCAGCTTTTATGACGGTCATTAGTTTCATTAAAAACCATAACTTATGAGTAACTCTGCTGTCTCCTCCAGATGTAATTTCTTGTCATTATTGGATTGTGAAACCTCTGCAGTTCCACAGGCGCTCATGTACCATAATAATAAAGTGTAAAATTAAAACATTAAATAAGTTGTGGGTCATAAGATCAGACTCATTAAGATGCCTCAATTCTGAGTTATGAGAGGTCAGACATTTTGATCTTAAAGTTGATCTTCAAGTTACACTGTTACACAAGCTAGAGCTGCTGTAGAGGCAAAAATAAACATGTTTTCTGAGTTTCTGACTTTATGTAAAGCTCAGTAGGCCTATGCAAGGAATACATTTGGCCAAGTAACGAAATAAAAGGCAAGAAATATGTTAAACTGAACTCCAGCATCTGATACCATAAAAGTAAAATGCAATCGCTTGTTACCTTAAGGTGGTGACACACATTACGCTTGGGGAGCTGATTGTACTGTTAATATGATTTGGGCATGATGACCGATCACATCAAGTTGCTTCATGTCTGTTGACTTCTGGTCCAATCACCACCCGTCATTCTCATTAAGATCATTTAAAACATGTTTATAATAACTTGAATCTGGATCTCAACAATGAGCAAAATGGATAACAAAAACAGAAACCTGGCAGAAAACTGTGAGCAAATGGCAAACTAGTGTGATGTCCTGTTAGGGAGAGACTAACTACAATAGTATAATCCATTTCATCAAGTTTTAGTGCAGAACCGCAGTTCAGAGGAAGTTTATCCTACTCTGATGGTGTTCACTCAACTCTCTCAGTACATTTTGTAGTCCTTGTTGCCTGAAATGTCCTAATTTCTTTCCATTTATGCACGAATATCTGTATGAAGTATGAATACATGTTCTCACAGGTTTTCAGCTGTTGTCTATTGAAGCCACTGCAATCATAGCCTACCTGTGTGTGTGTGTGTGTGTGTTGCCTCTACTCACTTGACTAATCTGTCCTCATTTTGTGGTTTTGTGCATTCTGTCAATTCAGGTATATTCCCACTTTTAGGATGTACCAGTTTGATACAGTCTTGGCACTGATTCTGATATTATTCACTTTTCAGTCACACAAGCAAACACGGAGGGCTACTGAGTCAGTTTTCAGTGCCACAGTGACCCCTGTCTTCATGTTGCCATACAAAAATATTATTCCAATGAGCCCCATGCAGTGAGGTTTAGAGACATAAAATTTGTGAAAAAAACCTTTACACCGTATTGGGATAGGGCCACCAAGGTGCGCCAGAATCAGTCTCTTGAGAGATGAAGTTGAACAGGTGCATCCCTGCTTTAGCTGTCCTCCCAAGTCAGAATTATCGATAGCGGCCTTTAAATAACCATAAAGTTATCTTGTAGATATCCTGTTGAGCTTTCAACATGATGGATGCCAGACTGATAATTAATTTAGATGCTTTTGCTTTGACATTTAGAGTAGTTTCCCTTTCTGCTAAAAGGTTTACCACTTAGCCAGCTTTCATAAATAATTCTCTGATGGTGTGATACTCTACCCACAAAGGTTTAAGCAATCTACCCCAAGAGAAGCTCTGTACAGAAGCCCAGAAAAGACACAATTAGTGTGTGTATGTGTATATATAATTTAAATTTTTTTTTGGTGCCCAAAATCAGGTTTTTTTTTTTTTTTTGTTTTTGTTTTTTTCCCCCATTGTGAACAGAAAAATGAATGTGATCATGAGAAGAAGTTGAAAGAT